CCTCAGTAACATCACTAACATAGAATTTTTATATCGAATGTTCAAATGTTTTTGATATTCTTCACACTATAGCAAGCTGCATGGAAATCACGAAAATCTACGGCGTGGTCCAACTGATATTAAAAGATTATAGTAGCACAAAGCATGTGTTTTGTGCATGTCTTTTGTTGTATCCTGTAATAACTTTTTCAGTCTAAAGGACTTCCTTGCATTATGAGCATTCAAGTTCTTGTTATTCCAGATGGAATAGGACAGCTTATGACGAAGCGGTAACGTTCGGCTTCACCCATATTGCCGAGAAAATCAAAGTTGCAATGGATCGTGTTGAAAATGGATTTGTGCCAATGTTAGTTCAAAAAATGTGCATTGCAAAATTTTAAATTTATCCCACTCACTTTTACAAGGAAAAAAATCCTTTGTTAAGCATTATATTGCAGAAGCATTTCACCGGAAGCAGCACGGAATTTGCTGCAAGAAAAAGAAGACATGCCGAATAATCATCCAGAAGAATCAGATGACTGGGAAAAAGGTTTGTTTTTATTTTGTTCCAGATTTTCTTACCCAGCGTGTCACTTCGTCAAGTTGAAATGTTAAAGCGGCTTTCGTTTCCCGTCTTAACATTCGAATTCGCACTGGGACATAGGTACATGATATAGGTTTCCACGCTCCACCAACCCGGGCAAAGTATCCATTGTTTTGAGGGGGCTTTTTTGCCTTCCGTTTTTCTCTTCCCTCCCGTCCTCCCTCCCTCATTTCTGTCGTTGTGCTGGATCAAGGCATCGGAAAGTAAGCCGAAGGATGGTAATTTTTTGCTTTATATGAAGCATGCTGACGAAGCTGCCGACGACTTTCCGTCCACCGAGGTGCTGAAGGTGATTCAGCATCAGCAACTTACCACTTGAACGGATTAACGAATCCATGAGGGGTTGATTTTCCCGCAGGCCAATTTGTAGTCTAAATCTGAGATCAGGGACACCAATAAAACTCGGATAATCCATGGTTATTCCGTGTTGGTACGTTACTGGATTGATAACGTGTAATCAGCAAAATCTAGGATAACCGTTCAAGGATACTCAATGTATCATTCTCTATTACTTAATCATCTAAGC